TGAAGGAAAATATTCTTTATTTTTTAAAATTAAATTAATGGGCCCATGTGCCACGTGTCGTAGTTCTATTCGTACTTTTTGTCAAGATAAAGAGTGTGCATTACACGCACAATATTTGTAAAGATAGTTGTTATTTTATGTTCAATAGATAAATATTTATTAATATTAAAGTGTCTAATAGATAAGAGTCTCAGTTGAGGTGTCTAAATGAATTATGCGGACAACTTTAAGGGGCTATCGATGACTTAAGCCTAAAATTAATTGTGTATTATGAAATTAATACTTATACTACTCCCTCCGTCCATAATTGTTTATCATGTTAAGGTTACGCACACCCCTCAAGAAAAATTTAATACAATGTGTGATTTTACTAATATAACCCTACTATACCAACAATATCAAAAGTCTACATAACATTTCAATTGAACTACACTATCATTAAGGGAAAATTTGAAAAAAAGTGACTAATTATTTCTTAATTATTTAAATTGATAATTAATTTAAACATATATTTTTAGTATACCTGCCAAACAATTGTGGATAAAGCGATTATTTTTTTTAGAAAAATAGAAAGTATATGTTTTAATGCAATATAGACATTGTCAGAGAAATCATTGTACTGAGCTTCTTAGGTTGTACTTGTACAAAAGCATCAGTGTTCTAATCAAACGAAAATTTTTATTTTGTCCGACGCACGCTTAGAGTTAGTTGTGTGAGTGACTCTTTGGCTGCCATTTATATATTGTGAATTTATAATTTATTTATTTTAATTTTTTACTTCTTTCTCCTTTAATTTTAATGTTTTCTTTGTATTTTTTCTTTCTGTTCAGAATATTATTTTTTTCTCAGCTCTTAACTATTAAAGTAAATTATTGAGAAACTTTGGATTTAAAAGTTAATGGAAAAAAAAATACTTAAGAAAAAAGTACAATAATATATCAGAACTCAAATTTATTTTAATATTATTGAGAAATTTTGGATTTAAAAGTTAATGGGAAAAAAACTATTTAAGAAAAAATTACAATAATATGTAAGAACTCAAAAAGATAATGAATTTGAATAATATACTTTGGATTTTAAAAGTGATGGAAAAAAATTACAACAATATGTTACAACTCAGAAAAAATTAAAAAATCATTTTTAATGGATTTAAAGAAATTGATGATAGTGAAACTATTAATTAAATTAAATTTTGACGAATAAAGTAGGAATTCATATAATCAACTATTTGAATTATTGAAATTCAATCGGCCTTTTTTATTACTCAATCATATTTAAATATACAATTTAATTTTAATTAATTAAATTTTGACCTTTTCTTTTTGGGGTGTAAAAATATATACTATCAAAATTAGAATACTGTTAGAGGTGTCAAATAAAAAATCAGTCATGCATACTCTCAAAATCATAATTGGATTCTGAAATATATTATGTTTATTTTATAAGAAATTAACAAATTATATTGTAAGTATATTATAATGTATAATAAATATATTCTCTATCGATAAAACTTGTATTATATATAAATAATAGATTATTCTTTAATACTAACTTGACTATGATTTTAGACATCAGCCTATTTGATTATTTAAAAAAAAATCCATTTATCAATAATTAATAATATCTAACTTCAATATGAAGTGGGGGCCCAATAAAATAATTGAAAAGGACCTCACATATTTGCCTTAATTATGTGAGACAAATATTCCCTCCACATTTTACATCTATAAAATCTAAACGTACATCACTCTGGCATTAAAAAAACATTATTTGTCTCAAATTATTTGAGTTATTTTTTTAACTCCCTCTATCCCACAATATTTTATTAGTTTATCAAGTATATTTTGTAAATCTAAATTTGACTAATAGTCTAGTCAATATTGAGTGTCATTGAAGTTTTACATACTCTTTAAGAAATTTAATGAGTTTATCAGAAAATCATTTAAAGAAGGATAAATATATTAAAAAAATTAAGAATTTCCTAAACTTTTGAAAAGTTCATTTATTTGAACTAAAAAAAATCATCAACATTGCACTCAATATGGACTAGAATGAGTAATATTTATATTGTTGTATCATAATGAGAATAATATTGAAAAACAATAATATTTTTGTGAAAACAATTAAGTGCTGAAAATAATTAATGTGTTTGGTAAATTTGCTGAAAAAGTAAAAGGATCAAAAGTAAAAAATTCAATTAATTGAAAATTTAATGTGATTAGTCAAATATAGTAAAGACTAAATAAAAAATTTATACCAAAAGTAGTCATTAAAAGTAGCATAGGTAATATGATTGGTATTTTCAATGAGAACTAGTACTACTATTATTAACTCTTTCTAATAATTGCTCTTCTAATTATTTGTCCGAATTTTTTACACGTTTTTGAAAATAAATTAAAATAATTTTGATTATTTTAATAATACCTTTTTCTTGGATATTTATTGCAGTACTTTTTAGAATATACTCTGCACTTCTAAAAGATTAATTTTATTTTTATTTTTAAAATAAAAAATAATCCAAGATGACTATTTTTTAGAAATAAGAAAAAGAGCATATTATATTAGAAGAGAATTTCCGTAAATGATTACGAAGGGGCTTAAATAGGGAAACTATTTAATCCTTTTCTAACTCAAGATTATATAATAGGCAAGAGTTTGATATATCTCTTAACTTTTATTATTTAAAGTAGATATATTTTTTATAAGAGAGTTTAGTTGATGTATAATTTACTGTTATATAAATGACTTATATATGCCCTTATCGTCATAAAAGAAGTTCATGTTACTTATCATGTAACAGAAATGAAAAAAATCGTTTTAAATTTATTTTTTTTACTTGAAATTTTATCAAAATTCATATAGTGGTATACATACGATTCTTCTAGCAAAGTTCAAATTACATTTTAATCTTTTTTCTGTACAAAACTTTTTTTTAACATCTTTAATTGTCATTTTTCGAGTTCCTAATTCTTTTTTCTTTCATTCTTTCGTTCTTTAGTGTAAGAAAAAAATTTAGAAGTAATTTTTTGGGCTAATTGTAATTTAATTTTTGAATATGTAATTTTTCTAAAAAAAAGGGAATTTTATAATAATTTTTACAAGAAAATTAGTAAAATATAAATAAACTTGACCGTCAAAATATTAATTTAAGTTAGTCGTTGAAACAAAAAAGTAAAAAATTTGTGAGAAGGATCAATTATACGCATATTGATTATATTTTTTTCAAAAAATAATTTTAAAAATTAAATTTAAATTAAATTTTTTCATTCCTGTTAGAGGAAAATAGTATATGTGTGTATTTGATAACACTAAGGGAATATATGAGCTATTTTCACAATAAGGGGTATAAATGATTCAATCTCATAATAAGGGGTATGTATGAACCACTTTCATAAAAAATAAGGTTCACCCAAAAAATTGTCCAATTACGGTAATTTCATAACTAAAGCGATGTCTTTGAACTTTGATTGCGCTCAAACACAAACTAAGTAAGATTTTCAAAGCGAGTATCGAAAACCAAACAAAAAAACAGAAAACCAAATTATAAGATTCGCGCCAAATATTTAAGGCCGTTAAGTTTATAACTACTATTCTGACTCTGCTCAGGACAATGCGCGAGTCCAAACTAACTAACTGAAAATAAAACGGTAAACAAGAAAAAAATATATAATAAGATTCGCGCCAAATTATTTAAGTTCGTTAAATTTATAACTACTATTATGACTCTGTCCCTGATGAGCGCGAATCTAGACGAATTAAAAGTTTCAAAACAAGTATCGAAACTAAAAACAGTAAGCAAAAAAATATACTACTAGGTTCGCGCCAAATATTATTAAATTTTCATTAAATTCACAACCACCACTACAAATCTGCTCTGAACAACACAAATCTAAGTTGATCAAAATCTCGAAATAAATACCGAAAATCATACTTATAAAACATAACATATCAAACTTATATAGTACAAATATATAATTTCTCTTTTGGGATATACAACAAAAATGAAGGTCTTGCATGTTAAGTCCTTTCAAATATATATGTTTAAAGGAGAAAACCGGAAGAACAAAACAGAGTGTACTAATAGTTTTTCCCTTTTATCTTACAATTTGGAAAGAAAGAGACAAAATGTAACCCGACAAATTCGCGATTGAATTAAAACCATTAGCTTAAGGTTTTTTTTTTTTAATTTTTATTTTTATACAATATATAAAAATATAAATCGATACTAAATTTGGAAAACTGATAGTGTAACTGATAAACCCCACCACTCCCCTATCACTTCCAGAGGAAGTTTTACTCTTCAATGGCGGCAGAACCTGGGCGAGTTCTGAGGAAAAGAAAACTCAAAGTTGACAGAGGAGCACATCGGAAATTAGGTGTTGATCAAAAAGTTGAGGTGATTAAGATGCTCTGTTTTTTTTTTGTTTTGTTTTTTTTCATTTCTGTTTTGGTTTTGAATCGATCTAAGCATCTGAATTTTGTTTTGTTTCAGTTCAGATATGTTTTCTTCTTTGTTGGAAATGAAAGATTAATCAGTAAAAAGAATGGTTTGATCAACATTTTTGTTTAATTAGAATTTTGGGTTAAACAAATGAGGTTTGATTCTTGATAAATGTTTGTATATGTATATGGTGTATAAAATGAGGGCCGATTGAATTTTGGGTTTTGAGTTCTGAATTTTAGGTTTCATTGGTTATAACGTTTCGTTAAAAATTGCTTCTTTAAGTTGATTTTGATTTACCCACATTGGTGTTTTATCTATACATCTTTTTTTGTCTATGTACATTTGTATAACAGCTTGTTGAAAGTGGGATTTTTTATTCTTTTGTAAAATTTGGTTTAATGTTTCATGGATGTGAAGGAGACTGGAATGATTAGATAGAACTTGTCAAAGGAGTTTAATTCTTTGGGGTTTCATTGTGCTTATAAAGTTCAATTGCCTCTTTCGCTGTTTGTTTAGTCAAGGGTCTTTTGGTCTGAGACCTCAATTGTGGGATTAGACTGAGTTTCTGTTATTGTTGTTGTTGTTGATTGTGCATACAAATGTTTTGGGTGTTTTGAAGGCTGTAAAGTGTATGTGATGGGTCAAGATTGTTTTTTCATGGCCTCAACCTTTTCACCTCATTTATTACTGCATTGTGGTTTATGCAGGTGAAGAGTCTTGAAGATGGATTTTTGGGTTCGTGGCATTTGGGTACTGTGATTAGTTGTAGTGATTTGATTCGTGAGGTTCAATATGATTTTATATGGTCAGACCAGGGCTCTGACAAATTGGTTGAAGTGGTAAACGTATCTCCAATAATTGAAGGGTTATTACCTGTTGATGAACGGCCAGCTCATCAATGTGGTATGATCAGACCATCACCGCCCCCTTGTGAACTTGACAGCTGGCCTTATGGTCAGTGTGTCGATTGCTTCTACCAAGATGCATGGTGGGAGGGTGTATTATTTGACCGTGAGGAAGGTCATGAGGAGAGAAAGGTCTTCTTCCCAGAATTGGGTGATGAAATGAAGGCAAAGCTAGGCGAGTTGCGCATATCTCAAGACTGGGATGAGTTAACGGAGGAATGGAAAATCCGTGGATCATGGTCATTTCTTCAAGTGGTTGAAGAAATTGAGAAACTAAACCCACTCTTAGTTTCGGTTAAACAAATTTGGTATGAAGTGCAGCTGAAGGATGATTTTGATGAACATCTCAAGCAGTGGACATCTTCTTCGAAAGATATTTGGAGGAAACTGGTGAAGGAAGTTGTGCATGACAGTACCAAGTTAACTGTCAAGCATTATCTTTCTGAACTGAACTCCTTACAGATCATCGGAGAGGGATGTCAGTTGCTCGAATTTTCAGAATCTGCTTTTATAGCTGAACTGAACCCTGAAGTGTACTTTGCACCCTTTACTGAAGCTGCTTATACATTAGATAGTTCGGCCACACTGCCTATGGATCAGGATCTTTCCAATCTTCAACCTGTAGAAAAGCTACTTGTTTCGGAGGAGTCTGCACCTGCCGCAGAGGATGTTCAAATGACTGGTAATGATAATTGTAGTTCATTTCCTCCTTGCTAAAAAGAAGATTTGTCTGTATCACTACATGATTTCTATGTTTTACTTCTGCCAATTGATGATATTGCAGGTATTTTGTCCTGTACCGAGAGTGAACTACCTACTTTGGCGAAAGCTAAGCGTGTTAGGGGGAGACCTCGAAAAGTCAAGAAGATATTCAAGGGGCGGACCCAAGTTACTGAACCTGACTCTTGTCGAGAGGCGAACTCAACAAAAACAATTAAGGAGAAGATATTCGACGATGTTTCCCCTCTTCAGCAGCCTGTGGATCAGGATGTTCCTAATCTTCATCAGCCTTTGAATCAGGATATTTCTGACCTTCAGCCATTAGAGAAGCAACTTGTTCCGGAGGAGTCTGCACCTGCCACAGAGGATGATCTATTAAGTGGTATTGATATTTATAGTTCATTTCCTCCAAGAATATTCCTCTGTATCACCACACATAATGTCTATGTTTTACTTCTGCCTATTGACGACTTTGCAGGTATTTTATCAAACACCAAGAGTCAGCCACTGACTATTGCGAATTCTAAGGCTTGCAGAGGGAGATCTCGTACAAAGAGGAAGATATATGACAGGCAGACTGTGGTTGGTGAACCTGCCTCTTGTCGAGAGGCAAACTTGACAAAAACAATTAAGGAGAAGATATTCGAGGATGATTCCCCTCTTCAGCAGCCTATGGATCAGGATGTTCCTAATCTTCAACAGCCTTTGGATCAGGATATTTCAGATCTTCAGCCATTAGAGAAGCAACTTGTTTCGGAGGAGTCTGCACCTGCCGCAGAGGATGTTCAAATGACTGGTAATGATAATTGTAGTTCATTTCCTCCTTGCTAAAAATAAGATTCGTCTGTATCACTACATGATTTCTATGTTTTACTTCTGCCAATTGATGACATTTCAGGTATTTTGTCCAGTACCGAGAGTGAACTACCGACTTTGGCGAAAGCTAAGCGTGGTAGGGGGAGACCTCGAAAAGTCAAGAAGATATTCAAGGGGCGGACCCGGGTTGGTGAACCTGACTCTTGTCGAGAGGCGAACTCAACAAAAACAATTAAGGAGAAGATATTCGAGGATGTTTCCCCTCTTCAGCAGCCGGTGGATCAGGATGTACCTAATCTTCAACAGCCTTTGGATCAGGATATTTCAGATCTTCAGCCATTAGAGAAGCAACTTGTTTCGGAGGAGTCTGCACCTGCTGCAGAGGATGATCTATTGAGTGGTATTGATATTTATAGTTCATTTCCTCCTAGAATATTCCTCTGTATCACCACATAATGTCTATATTTTACTTCTGCCTATTGACGACTTTGCAGGTATTTTATCAAACACCAAGAGTCGACCACTGACTATTGTGAATTCTAAGGCTTGCAGAGGGAGACCTCGTACAAAGAGGAATATATATGACGAGCAGACTGTGGTTGGTGAACCTGCCTCTTGCCTAGACACAACCTCAACAGAAACATTTAACAAGCTGCCTAGTGATGAGACTGCAGGTATTTTGTCTAGTACCACACAGACCTTGGAGAATTCTAAGCCTCGCAGAGGGAGACCTCCTAAAAGGATGAAGACATTGGGTAAACCTGACTCTTGCCCAGAAGCAACCCTGATAAAAGAATTAAAGAAGCCGACTAGTCATCAGATTGCTGGTATTTTGTCCAATGGCAAGTGTGTGAATTCTAAGAGTCGCAGGGGAAGACTTGCTATAAAGAAGAAATTTGTTAGGCAGTTACTGTTTGGTGAACCTGACCCTCACCTAAAAGTAATAACTAAGTGTATGCCATCTATGTCCTCCATACAAGAATTTAAGGATCATCTGTTATGGACGGGCTGGAAATTTGATGTCAACAAGGTGGGTGGTGAGACTAAGAATAGTTATGTTGCTCCAAATGGAACGGTATGTGCATCAATTAACGAAATTTGCCAGGTGTTGGAAGCGTCAAAAATATGTGAGGTGGTTCCCCCAGTTGAACAAAGTAGTTTACATGGTGACACTGATAACTCCACCCAGTCTCCTTGCATGGAAAGACCAACATGCAGAGAGGTGCCTGAGTTGCACAAAGAAACACTTGCTGCGACTACAGAAATAAGT